TTGATCAGAACAGGGACTGCAGCCAGGAAATCAGGAGAAGATTAAGAACGGGGAGGATGGCTATGAAAGAACTAGAAAAGATTCTAAAAAGCAAAGATATACAACTCAGCACAAAAGTCAGAATCATACAAACCATCATATTCCCTATTACCATGTATGGATGTGAGAGCTGGAGAGTCAAGAGTGCTGGAGGAGGAGGAAAATCAACTCATTTGAGATGTGGTGCTGGAGAAGAGTGCTGAGGATCCCATGGTCAGCCAAAAGGACAAACAAATGGGACCTAGAGCAGATCAAGCCAGAAATATCCCTAGAAGCCAAGATGACAAGACTTAGACTGTCATACTTTGGGCACATCATGAGAAGGCATGAATCTTTGGAAAAGACAATAATGTTAGGAAAGGTGGAGGGAAGTAGAAAGAGAGGAAGGCCACATGCTAGATGAGACCACAAACATGAATTTGCAGGAGCTGGGCAGAGCAGTAGAGGCCGGGGGGCCTGGAGATGTCTCATCCATATGGTCGCCATGGGTTGAGACCGATGCGAAGGCAGTAAACAACAACAATAAAGCATGGTCTCTGAACCTGTCCCAGTTAATGGGGTTAACTGGCTGCAGCTCTTTGGAGTAGATGAAGTTTCCAGACACTCTTCAATGGCAATCTCGAGTAGAGTGCATTACTTTAGACTAAATAAGTCATGTACTACTGTGGCCATATAGACAGCATATATCCAAAATCTCAAGACATGGGTGCAGTTAGCACATAAGATTTAAATGTGCAAAAGCACCCCCTGGAAACCACAGAAATCTGATCCTCCACATTCAAAGCTGAGTCCAAAGGTAAACCCAAACTGTAAACCTGTCTCTTCAGATGGAGTATGATCCCATCTAACATAGGGTGAATCCCTGATCTGCCTTTTAACTGACAAGGAGTACCTCTGCCTTGTCTGGATTAAGTTTCAATTTATTTGCCTTCATCTAGTCTATTACGAATGACAGACAGTGGGATATGGCCAAGATAGTCTCCTTGGATTGGAGTGGAACGGAGTAGGAGAGCTGGGGGTCATCGGCATATAGATGACACTGCTGTTACTGGCAAAAGTTACAGTGTGAGTAAAGGAGATAAGATTAATCATTCATGGCCTCAATATTCCACTCTCAATCAACACAGTGAGCTGTGGAACAGACTCTTCTAAGAAGGCACTGCCACCTTACTTTGCCTCACGTCCCCTACTCTGTGCATGCGGCTGTCATGCCAAAGTACTATATCTTGCAACATATGAATCTGGTTAGACGATTGATTTGTCCAGCTCAGCATTTTACTAATCAGCAGTGGCTTCCCAGGGTTTCAACATGGAAACAACCCCAATTCCTCTTGGAGATAATAAGAGCTTCTGCATGCATTTCACTGCTGCACTTTACTTTGGACCATCCAATAACCTGTTCTGTCACGTTATGCATGGAGACACCCAATGTCAGAACATCTCAAATAGGCATGATCTCCTTTTAGAAAGATATGTCTATCAAGCCCCAACATTTGACACAACACAGATGAAAATAGCTGGGACAGAAATGCTTCTTATCTTGCTCTTATAAAGGGGTTTACAACTTGTCTCAGCTTGTCTCAGTAGTAAAGTGTTTAGGAACTTCTGTGTAGCAATTATCAGGTGACTGCTTATTGCCTATTTTTAGGAACAATTATATGAAAACTTAAATTGTATTGCAAACAATACACATATCAACCATAAAATTTGGTAACTGATTGTGTGTATACATGTGTTCAAAAGACACACTGGATGTTAATTTGGTGTAGTACTTAAGGTGTTGAACTGGTATTTGGGAGATCCAGGTCCTAGTCTCCAGTAAACCATAAAAGTACAGGGGGCCTTGGACCAGACAGTGGCTATTACTCTATTGCATATTAAAATAATATTTTTTTAAAATCAAGTATTACAGAATTGGTTTAAAATTCTGGCTTTTGAGTATTTTTATTGCTAATATATCATTTATTCTTGTTGCTACACTACATTGCTTTTGAGGATGGTTTTCTTTGTTTTTACCTACCACTCCAGAGAAAAAAACAGGATAGAAATATTTTAAGTGAAGTTTACAGTAGCTGAAAACAACATGCATATAATAAGGAAGTTCCAATATTATCCATTAATATTCTATTAACTAATATCCTATTAGTGAGTTTTTCACCAATGACAGGACAGAACAACATGTAGCCCACCAGAGATTGTTGGATTGCAAGTTCCACCAACCCTAACCAAAATAGCCAATGGTGAAGGATGATGAGTGTTGCATCCCAACAGTATCTAGAAAGTCATTGAGCTGAATAATTTTTGCATTATAATATGTAAAAAGACCAGGAGCAGCTTGTGGCAAAGACCATAAACTGCTAATATAAAAAAGTAGAATAAAGCTAAAGAACACTACACCAACCATTGGGCTGAAATACAGCCTGATGAACATCCTTGTAGAATTTAAAGATAATATCAAAAATAAATTTGTAATATTAAGGCTAATTGATCAGGAGCCAGAAGAACTGTGAACTGAAGTCAGGAACATTATCAGGGAGGAGTGCAAAAAGACACTACCTGTGAAGAGATAGTAAAAGGCGATAGAGGTAGAATCGGAACCCTGGATGCAACTGTTCAATTACTTGTGTGCAGGGACAAGGAGAACTACTATAATAGTCAATGCAGAGAAATAGAAGCTGACAACAACAACAAAAAGGAAGAACAAGCGATCTCTTCCACAAGATCTGAGAAATCAAAGGAAATTTAAATCAAGAGTGTGGAGACTCTACGACCAGTAGGGAACACATTAGATGACGAAGCAGAAATAAAAAGATAGAAACAAGACATGGAAAAATTACATAAACCAGATGACAGGGTGACAGACTCATACAAGGAAGAACAATATGAAGATGAACCTCTAGTTTTACAAAGCACAGTAGAAGCTGCAGTTGGTGCATTTGGGAGAAATAAATCACCAGGAACACTGCACAATGAAGACATTGAAATAGTTCAAGATTTTCCATATCTTGGCTCAGTCATTAATTAGAATGCAGGCTGCAGTCAGGAACTCAGAAGACTAGGAAGAGCAGCTATGAAGGAGCTAGACAATATTGTCTATGTTGTCGTATTTCCCATTCTTATGTATGGTTGTGAAAACTGGACAATGGAGAAAGCTGATAAGAAGAAAATCAACTCATTTGAAACATGGTGTTGGAAAAGAGTTCTATAAATACTGTGGACTGCTAAAAAGAGAAATACTCAGCCCTCAGTATCTGCGGAAGATTCATTCTGGATACACACCCCCACGGATATCAAAATCCATGGATGCTCAAGCCCATGTTGTCCCCCAGGGCAGCATGTGCACATAGCTATGCCACCATTAGGGACAGCCACATGCACACACTGCCCTGGGGGACAACATGGGCTGGCCATCCACAGATGCTTGAATCTGACTGTAAATGGGTCCTAAAGCAAATCCGGCAGTGTGATATAGTGGTTTGAGTTGGGACTACGACTCTGGAGACCAGGGTTTGAATCCCGGCTTGGCCATGAAACCCAATGGGTGAACTTGGGCAAGTCACACACTCTCAGCCTCAAAGGGAGGCAATGGCAAACCTCTTCTGAACAAATCTTGCCAAAGAAAACTCCATGATAGGGTTGCCTTAGAGTCTCCATATGTCAGAAATGACTTGAAGGCACACAACAACAACAAATAGCAAATCAGGAACTATTCCCAGAAGTCAAGATGACTAAAATGAGACTGTCACACTTTGTCCATATCATGAAAAGACATGACTCACTAGAAAAGACAGTAAGATAGGAGGCAGTAGGTAAAAGAGGAGGACTACATTACATGTTGATAGACTCAATGAAGGAAGCCATGGCCCTGAGTGTGCAAGACCTGAGCAGGACTGTTGATGATAGGTTGACTTGGAGTCGTAATCAACTGGATGGCAGTTAACAACATAATAAGATAAAACCCTCACTACCTTTTTAAGTCTTTCCTCAGAGAGTATAATTCAACAAGTAGGTCACTTCTGTCCACTTGAGGTGTTATGAATCAATGCAAAGTGACATTTTATTTCCCTCTTTGGTAGAAGCTATTTCTGCACTACTTTTCTTCATCATAAGTTTAAAAGAAAAATGAGCTTCCTATGACAGCAGCTATATAGCAGAAAGTTAAAAGGATCAATTTGATATGGAGGTCAGAAGGGTATACCTAAACGCCAGATCTAACTGCACTTAATTTAGAGCCTTTTTTTACCTCAATTAAAGCCTGACAGATGTCAATTTGCTGGAAAGTGAAGTGTAAACTGCTAGCTAATATGCCCCAGCAAAATGAGTTACAAACAACCAAAATGGGCCAATGGTGAAAAATGTGTTTATTAATTTTAAGTCTTACTCAGGAATACACATTTCTCATGTATATGACTGTTGGTGTAAATAAGGTCAAGACAAACATAACTGGAAGGGCTCAAGTTACAACATACAGGTTAAATTACTCTCTATAATAAACCTTACTTTTTATACAGCTACAAATAAATTAAGAATTCTTGGTTGTACCAGTTTTGGCCATCTTTTTCACACTACTAGGAAGTTAATGATCAGGCTACCAATTTCTCAGGGATATCTGAAGGTTAACTCTACTGGATGCCAATGGAATATATTCCTCTCTTGAATCTGGACTTTCAGGTAAATAATATGCTGAGCTATCTTTGAAGCTGGATGTAATCAGTATCACTTATGAGGTCTTATTAATATAGTATCAAAATGCATTATGCTTTACATGAAAATTTTCCTCAGTTTAAATACACAAGTACACCCAATCTATACCCAGAACATGACTGGCATCCTGTACATCACTGAGAGGAAAGATTTAATTGATTTTAGAATTTCTGGGGGCTTGGCATTTAATACCTCAACAGATAACATTCAAACTATGGTTAAATGAATGCACACACTTTCTGAAGATTGCATGCCTTTTTATGTGAGTTTTCCAGAAAAACTGATCAGAAAATTTTGTGATGCCCCAAATCAACTGGACCCAAGTCAGTATGGTTAACTGGGGAAAAAGTAATAAAAACTTTTTTTTTAAAAGTATACCTAGGGCTGGAGAGGACAGGCGCAAAAGAGCACCCCCAGTCAGCTCCGGCCCAAAGTGGGTCCAAACCCCACCGACTACACAGTCCATTCCAAAAGTGGGCTGGGCGCACTGGAGCCAACCAGATTTATCCTGGCTCCTTTTTGCTCCAGTCCAAAGGACCCGAGCACAGCCTTTGTGAGGCTTCCAGCCGCTCTAGAGGCATGTGTCGTCTAATCAGCACACCTCCAAAGCAGCCGGAAGCCGCTTCTATCCACCCATGTGTTTCTCCCCCATGTTGATTTTCCATGCTGCCTAAATATCCCAAAGTTTCTAATAAATTATTACATCAGAGAAAGGTTCAATGAAGCATATTAACACAGCAATACCACAGGCATGCTGACTTCAATGGGACTAACATACAGCTATAAGAATGCAAAGCAATGCCATGTTTTGCAATATTTTATTTTGAAATAAACTCCCAAATATCCCCCTTCATTTTTGTTGGAATACTTCTACATATTTTAAGGCATGAAAGCTCAGTAGTATAATTCCCTGCAGCACATCTATCTAGACAAATACCATGATGACTCTTTCCACTGCCACAACTGGAACATTCTGATATCTCACTTGGCAATAAAGGGCCTCAGCAGACGGAGGCCCCGGAGCCGCCGCCGAACGGAGCGCCGCGGGGCTGCAGCCTCCGCATCCAGGCGCACCGCCGGCGACTCTAAAAGGAGCACCAAATTGGCGCTCCTTTTAGATGTCAGAGAAAGTGCGCCGCAAAAGCGGCGGGCGCACTTTCTCTGACTCAAACGGCACAGCGCATGTGGGCGCTGCGCCGTGAGGTCATCCCCAATGCGCCGGTCGTGTGGACGGCCGGCGCATCTGGGGGCGACCTCGGGGAGAGGAAGGGGCGCCGTTCGTGCGGCTGCCCCTCCTCTTCTCTGCCCAGAAGACGACTTTATTAGTCGTCTGCTTAGGGCCATTGTTTGGCTTCATCTAAATTTGGCAAACTGTGGCTTGGAGCCCAAGAAGTTAATCCCAGGAAGTTTATTTCCTGTACTCTCTTCTCTCGAACCACCTGTAACACTTTAAAAAAGCCTCTCTGGAGAGGCTGATAGCTATCCTGAACAACTTTTCTTCTATACATCAGGTTCAAGCCCAATTTTGGGGCGATTGTCCCTTCCTCAATAGGATCTTATGCCCATTTCACATTGTTCAGGAGAGCACCTGTTTTTTGAGTAGATGGGTGAACGTAGGTGCATGTGAGAAGAGGGGAAGGGATACTTTCCTCCCAGAAAGCTTAGATCAAATGCATCGTATGTGTAAATCGTAATTTTGACTCACATTCAAACTATGATTGGTGCAAATCATTATTTGCCAGGTCATGACACAATCACAAGATGTGCCACAAACCAAGAGTAAGGTCTGGCTTGGCATGGCTTATGAATAGCTCACTGCATAATTTCAACTGGGGGAGGGAATGAACCCACTGAAAATGATTAGAAAATGATTTTAACACTCTGAAGGTGGTGTGCACAGGATTATATACAGATACTTGATTTATAGGGACAGTCACTTGGAAAAAGTTAATTACAACTTTGAAACTCCTCAATTTATCTGATATTATAGCTACTTATTATATTCATAATTAATTTTGTAAAATATTTCACCTTTAGAAATGGAAAATGTTCTGTGTAAAAAAGAGCAACTGCCATGACAGAAAATATTTTGCTGCACATTACTGATCAGTATATAGATGATGGCACTGATGACAGCAAGTGCATTAGGTTTAAGAACTGTGCATATCAGTTAAAATTCTAAACTGGCCCATACTATGAGTATTTTACTTAATTAATCAGTTTTTCTATAACAATTAAGAAATAATTTACCAATGTGTAAGTTGGATTTGAACTCTACATTATGTTTTCTTACTGCCATTTCTTGGGCTTCCAGAAGGACCTATAATGAAAAATGAAAAATAATATCAAGTCAATAATATCAATATCAGTCTCAGAGTTCTATAATAGCTCCACACATTTATATAAAGAAGAAAAGGAATTCATTACTCTTAAGGAGAGGACCTACATATAGAAACCTATTTTTCTCTTTCATAGCACTTTTCATATTGGCAAAGAGCTAAGTCCCATTTTTTTCCAGTAAAGCTTACTCTCAGAATAATGCACACATAGGATTGTTGCCTTATTTAAGTTTTTGAAAATACAAATATCCACTCTCCCAAAAAAGAAAAGGCCAAAATGCAGCATTAGTAAGAGTGAAAGAGTGAGTACCCAGCTTGTTGGAGAGCAATCAGCTCACAGTTGTAAACCGCTTAGACATCCCATAGCGTGATATGAAGTGGTATATAGATGAAGCTGCTTTGAACGATAAACTCTACGAACAAATTTACGCCCACTTATACCAATGATGATGATCATCAACTACTATTAAAGATGCAATGACTGCTTTTACCGATTAAAGTAGACTGAGGGGCAAAACAGACAGCGGGTAAGGGGTGGCTTAATGCCACCCCTTTGAGTACCAGATTGGGGCCATGGCAACCAAACTCTGCAGACCCGATCCGGCATTGTCACAGTGCAAAAAGAAGCAGCAAAACACCACTCCCTTTTGTGCCAGAAAAAGGTGTCCCTTTGTCCACTGTCGTAGCTCTTCTCAACCCCTGCAACGTGCAGTGTGTAACTGCTGTGCCACAGAAACGTCCCTACACTGTCTGCGATCTGGGCGGGCAGGCAGGCGGTGTGACAGCAACTTGGAGGTGGAGCTGGGGCAGGCGGCTGCCATGCCCCCAAGCTGCCAGGACACTGGCTCAAATTGCCGGTCTCTTCAACCACAGAATGAGTGCTATTTCAATCTTGACAAGAAAAAAAGCCAGATGAGTAAATGTATAGGTTCTCTATAAAGCCTCTGTATGTTAAGCAACCTATGATTCAGCTAGTACTGTTACACATGTTTTAGATTTCAACTCCCATAATCCCCTATGAATACTACGCCAGCTGGGGGTGAAAGAAGCTGTAGTTCAAAACAGCTACAAGGCACCACACTGAGGAAGAACAAACCACATTCTGCCTCTCTAACTGTCAGCTCCATGTCTCTGCCACCTATCATTTCTGCTTTTCATATTATTCCTCTTTGTTCCACTCAGTGGGGACCTTATCACTTGACCATTTTCACATTAATTGCTGTGAGGTTTATTCCATCTCAAAGATGAATTTCTGATTGGCTTCTGTTGCCTCAATTCTTTTTTCTGTCATTCCCTCACTGTTCAATCTCCTCTATCAGCTTTCTTTCTTCATTCTGTTGCTTAGACTGTGCCCTTCCTTTAACTTCCTTGCCTCAGGGTTTTCTTTTTGTCTGCCTGCCTCTTGGGATCTTTTCCTAGCCTCCAGTTTTCCCATGTGTGAGGTTTTCATCCTAGTCAAATTGATCTTTCTCCACCTATACAGAA